TATACACACACACACACACACACACACACACACACACACACACACCGCCTCCCAGATCTTTCTTTAGTGAATCCCTTTATCTTCCAGCACACCATGACGCTGAGTCTGTGTCAGTCATCAGATGGCCTCCTGGGAGGGTGCGTATTTTAGCCCCAACGAGGCTTTTTGTTTGTTTTATTCTTTTGTTTGGATTTTGTGAGATACTGTCTTGCTTATGTAGCCTGGCTAACCTGGAACATAATTATGTAGACCAGACTGGCCTGAAACTCATGATCACAGAGGGTTGGGATTATAGGCCTGTATTTCCATATTAAGCCCCAAATAATTTTTTAAAGACACAGAACAATATTTAAAATTTAAGAGTTTCTATACAAACTTCTAGATTTTTTTTGTTTTGTTTTGAGTAGCACAGTCAAAATTCTCACACTTAACCCTACAGGGACTAGGTAGGTAATAAAGAAATATTTAGTAGCCAGAAAGCTACCTTTAGTCTCAGTATTGGGGAGGCAGAGGCTGGCAGTGCTTTGTGAGTTTGAGGCCAGCCTGGTCTACATAGAGAGTTCTAGGACAGACAGAGCTATACAGAATTATACCCTGTCTCAATAAATAAATAAATAAATCAAATTAAAATAAAATCAGCTCCATTTTCCTACTCTTATAGAGACATGAAGTCACAGAATACTTCTTAACACTAATGATGTCCACAACAAGCACTCCTTGGACATGTTGTGGGTCAGATCCTGTTCTAAGCAGTTTCTGGATTCTGATCCATTTAATCACCGCATTCCTCCAAATTAGAAAAGGTGGCCTGGTCCAGTGTCCATATCAGCGTGATGATAAATGGTACCTGGTACTCAGCCTCAGTGTGGAAGGAGGTAGGACTGGGAACATGGGAGGGCACATTCCTGACTAAATGGGGGCAGTGTCTTGAGACCAGAATTCCCACATGGGAATGTGGGTCTGTTGCCTCTGCCCTCAGCACCAAACCCCCGGGAACTGTGAGTGAGACATGACAGGCCTGCTGTCAGAGCAGACAGTTAGCAGTGGTTTCCCATACCCCCCAACGCTTGTTTATTTCTATAGCACTATGAGATCATATCCTCCCTGCCCCCAACATATACACCACTGTTTAGCCCAGTCCAACCAAATGTCTCCTGGAGCCACAAGAAGTAATGAGTGCACCGGTGCCTAGAGGAATACTCCAGAGAGTGGGCAAGATTCTTACTGAATAATTTCTCTTTAAGACAAGCTCTGGCATATCCCAGGCTGGCCTTGAACTCTGTATGTAGCCAAAGGTGACCTTCAACTTTGGATTCTCCTGCCTCCACTTAGGGAGTGCCAAGGTTATAAGGGTGTATCGCCACACCAGGTTTGTACTCAGGATCAAATCCAGGGTTTCCTCTGTGCTAGGCAAGCGCTCTACCGACTGACTACATCCTCATTCTTTAGTTCTTAAAGAAAGTACCACAAGTACCAACACCTATGGTCATCTACAAGGACCAATGGCCAATATCTAAGAAAAATGTAAAACGTACATGTCCTTACACATCTTACAGACAGATTGGACATTCATAAAGGTGGATGTATGAAGGCCTTTCTTGCCATAATATCAGTGGCAAAACATTGAAAGGAAACTGACTGGGTAAACAAATGGTGATAGAACCACACAGTTCACACCAGGCAGTGGGTGATACAGGCGGGGGTGCTGTGGTTAACATCCACCCGACTGCCTGGCCTGCCTTGCTCACCCTCAGCCTTATTGTGTTTCCAGTTGCAGATCTTACTGGTTTTGCACCTCAAGTACCTTTGTAAACCCCTCTCATTTTTTACAAATGTAAAATATAGCGATGCATACAAAGAATAATATAAGCACACATCCACTAGTTTGCATTCCCAACTCTTAATCTCTTATCTAGTTACTTCTTTTCTGGTCTTTTTGTTTGTTTTTTAAACTACCACCTCCTAATTCCCATTATTGTGGTTTTGAAGTCAAATGAAAGGGTCTCTCGTGCATCTTTAGTCAATATATATTCTATATATTGTAGCAGGAATCTTAAAAGTTCTTATTAATAAAATCAAACTTGAAGCCAGGTTTTGGGGTGAATGCTGGAAGATCAGAGAAGCAGAACAAGCTACAGCCACCTCACCTCACCAGTTCCTCAGCTGATCCTGTTTCCTCAGACTGGAAGCCTCTGAGTCCTCCTCCGAATGGATCTCAGCTGAACTGCTGCTAAAAGCCTAAAAGCTTAACCAGGCTCTAGTTCCTGGTTCTCACACCTTATATACCTTTCTGCTTTCTGCCATCACTTCCCAGGATTAAAGGCGTGAGTCACCATGCCTGGCTGTTTCTGCTGTGGCTTTAAACTCATAGAGATCCAAATGGATTTCTGTCTCCCAAGTGAGAGGATTAAAGGCATGTGTGCCACCATTTTCTGGCCTCTATATGTAGTAGCTGTTCTGTTCTCTGACCTCAGATAAGTTTATTAAGGTGCACAATATTTTGGGGAAACACAATATATTCTAAAAGTATGCATATGTATATTTTATTTATGTGTTAATAGTCTGCATTCTTATTTGCCCATGACAGACCATGCTGCCATGGACATCTCTGTCCACACGTCTTTGTGTCTGTGTGCAAGAGCCTCTATGGGTTGTATAATCAGAAGAGAAATTACTGGGCTATGAGATAGTTTCATTATCAAGTTTACTGTATGCTTCCAAATTGCCTTCCATAAATGGCTGAATTAATTTACTTTCCTCCATCAGCATATGAGAATATCACTTTTCCTAGTGTGGCCTCCAATATTTCATTGTTTTATTTTACATTAACCCTAATTATGTGGTTTAATATATATTTCTATATTTAAGGGGCAACTTGAATATCTTTTGTTAATTGCATATTTCTATATTTTACTCATATTCCTTTTTTTGTGAGGGGGTTTAACATGGGGTTTCTCTGTGTAGTCTTGGCTGCCCTGGAGCTTGCTCTGTAGACCAGGCTGGTCCCAAATGCATAAAGATTTGCCTGCCTCTGCCTCCCAAGTGCTGGAATTAAAGGCCTATACTATCACTGCCAGGCTAGAAGAATCCAAATTTGAATACCCCAAAATCCTTTCTGTCTCTCAGCTGCACCCTGACAGAGGCCAGCAGTCCTCAGAGTTTCCTGCTTTCATGGTGGCCTCCTTGTCTTCCACTTTGCTTTGCTTTAATCCATTTTCCACATTGAAGCCCCCCACTATCTCTAATAAGCCACTCTGACCATACCATTCCTAAATTCATCACATACAAGAAAACTAAATGAAGTATCACATAAGACATGACCACCCCCACCCCTTCACCCTCCACCAACTTTTAAGATTTGCCGTGCCAGATGTGACACCTCTGATCCCTCGCTATTTTCTCTGAAGACCATCATCCTTCCTGGTGCTCCCTAGACTGAGCCAGTCATAGGAATGGCCATTGAACATCTTTGAGCATGTCAGCCTCACTCCTGCTTCTGGGCTCTTGTACAAGCATTTGTGGAGCAACTTGTCCTTGTAAACGTTTCCCCGATATCCCTAAAGAGACCTGCTTGCTCCTTGCTCAAGCCTCACAAGCACTGGGTTCACTGTGATGTGTGGCCTTACACTGAAATAACTTACTTTGTCTTTATCTCTTCTCTAGATTAAAAGCTTCAGGTGGACAGAGCTCTGACTGCTGTCTCAAGAGGCAGAACGGCAGGCAGGTTATCTAGGAGTGTAGGTTCTGAAGCCAGCCTACCTGGCTTGAATTGCCTTTTTCACTCTTAGGGAAGTTACTTAACCCCTCCATGCTCCAGAGTTCTCATTTGGGAAACGGACAGAGCAGTAGTGTTGGTCTCATTGGTTTGTATTAATTGAGTTAATACATATAAAGAGCTCGTAATAGTGTCTGGCAGCATCTAGTAAGTGCTCAATAAATCTTCATTCTGATGATCACTGTTATTAACCAGTTACTAATAGCTATCATTTATTTATATCATTATGGATGACACTTGGCAGGAAGATGTACCCAAGGCAGAAGCAGTGCTAGCCTAGGTAACACCTGGACATCCCCAGCTGAAGGTCTAGGAGTCACCCAGCAGTCTCTTACTCCTGGCTGGGGTCCCTGACAGGGATGTTTTTGTTCTTGCCTGCGTCCCTTGACCCTCCATCCCAGGCACTCAGCTTCTAACCAGAAACAGCTAGAGGTAGAAAAAAGCACATTGTATCAAAGGAGCCTGGGAACATTGTTTGCATTTGTAAAACCCTGGGCTGCCACCACCCGTCTTCTCTGTCCCACTCACCAAGTCTGCCTTCACTCTTGAAGTAGGCTTCAAGTCTGAGCTCTCAGTAAGTGGCAAGCTCCCAGCCTCTGGGCCAGAATTCCTCCAGAATCCAGTTTCCCGTGTCCGGGGCTCACAGGTCCCTCACCATAATGTTCTCTTCCAAGCACAAAATTTTTACTTTGTGTTCTTCTTAGGACCTAGGCAGAGAGCAGCCCTTCTGAGCAGAAAAACTAGCTCGGTTTTTGTGTGATAGAGCAGAGCCAGGAAGTGCTCCGCCTGATTTTCTGGAGGCCCCAGCTGCTGGCTTCCATCATAGTGAAGCGCTTAGATGCGGACAGGTGTGAAAGTGAAGGGATCAGCCTGGGGAATTCGGATGGCTCTGGTTCAGCAGAGCAAATGGGGAAACAACAGGTGTCTGCAGATGCTCTGACCCAGGAAGACACTGCACCACAGCTCACTTCAAGATTGAATTCTCATGAAATCGGTCCCTTTGTGACACCCTCCCCCAACACACACTGGTTCTCCCTGGGGCTCTAGAAATTCTGCATCCTGAGGACTTCTGCCAGCCTTGGTTACAGGTACTTTGAGGTTAGGTGTGACTCCCTCAGGATTACTGCTGGACATTCTGAGATGTTTAGGCTGTTGGTTGGTCATAGAACACAGTAGTGGTCTACTTGCATAGTAATTAAGAGGGACTTGTTGGTTTGAGCACATGGTTAGGACCAACAGAAATGACAGAACATAGGCCCATTGAATAGAGATCCCAAACCTAGGGGCTCAGAGTCGCTAAGATTTCTCTGAAAATATAGCACTCTCAAGTTTGACAAGCAGGCATTCTATGGAAGGAAGGGTTAATCTGACCTCCCAGTACTGGAGTTAGAATTGGGTTGGAGAACTCTGTCAAATGGGCATTTCCCTTCCTCTTGCCTAAGGTGGACAGGAGTGAGAGCCAGTAAATCACACTTGATGCGTTTTTGCTATCCCCTCTTACATTGTGGAGTGATGGCAAAACCCACGTGAAACTGAAATGTTCCTGTGTCGATCACCAGGCGGGAGAGCTTAGGGACAGAAGGTTGCTCCTTAGTGAGGCTTAGAGGCAGACAAACTCAGAGGACAAATGGCAGCCACCAAAGGAAGGAAGCAGGTAGAATACCTGGGTCTGCCGCAGAGGGAAAGAAGAAAGTCTGGATGAGCGTCACTGTAGAAGACAGCTGAAAGGACTAGTGAGCAGCCGCCAAGTTCATTGGAAGAAAACTGCCTGTAGCATTATCGTTCTTTTCTCTTCTTGTTCTTTTCTGGCTTTTCCAGACAGGGTTTCTCTGTGTAGCTTTGGAGCCTGTCCTGGAACTCACTCTGTAGACCAGGCTGGCCTCGAACTCACAGAGATACACCTGCCTCTGCCTTCCTAGTGTTGAGATAAAAGGCATGCGCCACCACCTCCCGGCACATTATTATTCTTAACTGCAAAACTGGAAATAATTCAAGTATCCATCAAATGACAATTAAGTACCCCACAGAACAACTTTTTCCTGGAATACTATACAATCATTAAACACTGGAGAAGATACAAGTGTGCTGTTATAAAAAAGATACCTTGAGATAAAGGGGGGAAAAAGCACGGTGTGCCAAAGTATGCGTATAGTGAATTCCTTTCTGTGTTGTGTGTTTTCTTTTTAAGATCAGGCATGTAGTGTGTACTAACATACTCTTGGATTACATAGACAATGTCTACAAGGAAGTACAGTTGCTCTTTGACTGAGAGTGGTGTTACAGCCTTTTCAACTCATGGTAAATTGAAAACTCGGAGAGTGGAAAATGCGTTTCATACATCAATCAAGGCACACAGTTTACTGTAGAGCACTGCTTCTATCTCCTGGCTGACGAGGAGCCAGCTCACAGCCCCTGCCCAGCACCCACCAGAGAGTATAATGTAACATATCACTGGCCGGGAAAAGACCAAAGTCCCAATGCACACTGAATGTATGTTGCTGTGATACTGTCATAAAGTCTAAAGTCATTAAGTTGAACCATCATAAGTCAGGGCTGTGTGCACACAACATGGTTGGCAGCACCTGCACCCTCCCTCCAGGGTTGGATTATAAGGGAGAACTCAGGGAATTGTTACTTTCAACTTTGGAGTTTTTTATATGACTTCAACTTTTTATGTGTATGGGTATTATGCCTGCATGTATGTCTGTGTAGTATGTGGTGCCTAGTACCCAAGGAGGCCAGAAGAGGATGTTAGAGCCTCTGGAACTGGCTGCAAGCCAACCATGTGAGTGCAGGGAATCGAATGTGGGTTGGCTAGAAGGGCAGCAAATGCTCTCAGCCAGCTCTCTAGCCCCTTGGGTTGACAATTTAAGCAACATTTTTAAAAAAAATTCTGCTTTAGACCGGGTAGAGGTGGTGCATGCCTTTAATCCCAGCACTTGGGAGACAGAGCCAGGTGGATCTCTGAGAGTTCAAGGCCAATGTAGGCTACAGAGTGAATTCCAGAAAAGGTGCAAAGCTACACAGAGAAACTGTCTCAAAAAAAATAAATAAATAAAATAAAATAAAATAAAATAATTAAATGTGTGTGTGTATATATATATTATATTATATATATATATATATACACACACACACACATATGAGGAAAAAGAACCTTTATTCTGAATGTATACAGACTTTTTTGTTATCTTCTGAACTATATTACAGCTAATTATATAGCATTTACATTGTGTTAGGTATTATAAATAATCTAGAAGTAGCCTAAACTGTTATGTGTAAATAATACAAGGGACTTAAACAACTTTGGATTTGGGTTTCTCAGGGGAAACCACTCAACTTGAAAGGTTTCTTCTTCCTTTTCTTCCTTCTCTTCTTTCTCCATCCCTCTCTCCCTCTCCCTCTCCCCTTGTTCTATCTGCCTATCTCCCCTCTCTCGGCCATGATGAGAATGGAACCCAGGGCCCACACGTGCTAGGTGTTCTGCCCCGGAGCTACCTCCCCAGCTGGAGATGGTAATCGTACCAGGAGTGTGGACTTCAGGCTTCTGGTTCTTCCTTCATTGAGGATGGTAGACAGCACTACGTCCTTAATGTACATTCTTTTCAAGCACGTGTAGAATATTTGCAAAAAAAAAAAAAAGCATAGCAAGATTCAGGGAGATCCCAACAGGATGATGATAACATGCAAAGAGCGCTCTATTCTCTAGTGTAATGGATTAGTAATAAGCAAAAGTATCATAGTAGGTAACAGTTAAATAACGAGTGTATAAATACCTTTTTAACAGAGGTAACAAAGGAAAAACTTGTGCGGGTGAATTTTCTCTGTTCTTGATTTTTTTTCAACCTTCACTTCTAATTATGATGACAGAACTCATTGCTCCTGTGTTGAAATACCTCTGAATAAATGATCGAGTTAATTTAGATCTCACCTTTTTCCTTGAAGGATTGAAGGCAGGTCCGTTGCTCAAAAATGCGATTCAAAATCTGAAGAAACCCTACTCGCCGGTGGTTGGACTGCTCATTTGCTAAAGCATGAAAATTCCCCCGGGATCCTAATGCGTGGCTCCAGGCTCCAACATCTGAAGAATCCTGGTTTTCTCCGGAGAGGAGTCCACACCTGCCAGTTACAATAATATGCTTAGATACTGACAGGGACAGATGTCCAACACATCTTATGTGGGGAAAGCCAGACCCCACAAAGCACAGCCAACTGCAGGGTAATGTATCTTGAACGCATTGGTAGATTATCTACCATGCATATGTTTAGGCACCAGGAAAGGAAGGAGGGGCCACAGCATTTGCTGTTCTTTCTTTGTGACGCTGGCGAAAAACCCAAGCCTTGCACTAGACAGGCAGGTGCTTACCGTTTGGAAGGAGAACAATAACCCAACCCCCTTTTTTTTTATTTTTTTAATTTTTGAGACAGGGTTTGTCTGTGTACCTGGTTGTCCTGGAACTCACTCTGTAGACCAGGCTGGCCTGGAAGAATAACAATCTTTTTGAGAGAATACATTTTCTAAGAGAGCACTGAGATCAGGACGAGGGGAAAAGTGAAATCTTGGGCCCTTTGCTTGTTTGTTGTTTAGCATTTGTAAAAAGATTATTTCTTTTTATTTTGTGTATATGGATGTTTTCCTGCACGTATGTCTGTGCACCACGTATGTGCAGTGTCAGTGGAGGTCAGAAGGGGATGTCATATTCTACTGAACTGGAGTTGCAGATGGTTGTGAGCGTCCATGTGGGAGCTGGGAACTAAACCAGGTCCTCTGGAGAGCAGTCAGTGCTCTTGACCTCAGAGCCGTGTCTGCAACCCTCTTGAGCATTTTTAATGTATACATAGTGAGATGAGGTAACTGCAGGCTTAAGACTGTTTAAGCTCTAGAAAATGGTCATGGTTCTCTGATGGGAATTTTGTTACAGTTTACAAATATGTGCATATAAAACGTGTCCATTTCTACAGAAAAACAATCTGGATGCATGCACTCAAATGTCACTGTGGTTCTGTCCCTGAGGGCTGGGAGTTCCACTTTCACTTTGCTTATTCCTCTCACTTTTGATATGTTTACAGTGAGTATTTGTAGCCAGGGAAACTGAAGATTACCCCAGAACGAAGTGCTGCCCATGGTAGGTAGGCCTTGTCCAGGAACAGCTGCCTCAGTTCTTCAGGCCTCAAGTCCAGGACTGCCATCTCTCCCTCAGGCCCTCTCCCCAGGCTCAGCATTACTCACAGCATTGGTCTCCATTTCCTAGGTGCTCGTCCTTTGCTGCCTCTGACTTCCAGCCTCACTGCCCACCTCCTGAACCTGTCTGGGCTCAGCTTACATTCTGATTATTAAGACCCCAAACTCTTGAGTTGGGAAAATTTGTCCATAGTCCCAGCTCCTCAGGAAGCTGAGGCAGGAGGATTATTTGACCTGCCTGAGCAACATAGGAACCCCATCTCAGAAGAGAAAGGAAGGAAAATGGAAAGGAAAAAAAGAGTACATTTTCCATTCCCTCCCCCCCCCCCTCCTCCGGCTTACTGATCCCATAGAATTGACATCACCTTGGACCTTCTAATGAAACTGTGTCTTTTCCTCCTGAATGTTTTCTTGTGCATTTCAGTACTTTATATAAATCCCTTCAAAGGCTAGATAAGTGTAAAATTTGGATGTAATCAATTAATTTTTTTTTTTTTTTTTGAGATAGGATTTCTCTGTGTAGTTTTGGTACCTGTCCTGGATCTCACTCTGTAGACCAGGCTGGCCTCGAACTCACAGAGATCCACCTGGCTCTATCTCCCGAGTGCTGAGATTAAAGGAGTGCGCCACCACCACCCGGTGTAATGAATGAAATATTTAACAGCGAGTTTTCAAAAGGCTATGTCTAGGAGAGATGGCTCAGCAGGTAAAAGTGTTTGCCTCCAAAACCCGGTAACCCGAGTTCAGTCCCTACAACCCACGTACAATGCTGAGGCGTGGTAAGCCTCTGTAATCGTAGCTCTCCTAGAGTCAGACAGGGGGTCGGACAGGAAAACTGGCTTAGAGTATGCTGTGCAGCAGCAGAAATGGGAGGCCCTGCCTCCACAAGGTGGGAGGCAAGAACCCACCCGGGAAGGCTGTCCTCTGCGTTCTGTGAACACTCCATGGAATATGGATGCTCCAACCCCAAACACACAGAGTGCCATGATTAAATTTGAAGCAACAGCTGGGCAGAGTAGTACTTATTTGTATTCCCAGCACTCTTGAAGTGGAGGTTAAGAGAATCAGGAGTTCAAGGTCAGCCTTGACTATGTCTCAAGTGTAAGATTAGCCTGAGCTATATGAGACCCTATCTCATAAACAAAAAAGGGACTGGAGATATGTGAGAACACTGGCTGCTCTTGCAGAGGACCCTGATTCGGTTCCCAGCACCCTCACGGTAACTCACAACCATCTGTAACTACAATTTCTGCTGACCCAATACCCCTTTTGCCTCCGTGGGCACTGCATGCATGTGGTGTGCAGACATACATGCAGGAAAACCACTCATACATAAAAGAAAAATAAGTCCTAAAACAAGACAGTCCAGCAGAGTGGTGCATGCTTTAATCCCCTCACTCAAGAGGCAGAGGCAGGTGGATTTCTGCCAGCTTGAGGCCATTCTGGTCTATATAGCAAGTTCCAGGCCAGCTAGAGCTACATAATGAAACCCTATCTCAAAACAGAAAACAGGCAAAACAAAAGCAATAATAATAATAAGCAAAATCTTGGGAGGTAAGCTAGCCTTTTTATGGCCAAGGATGCTCACCGGTTTTGTGACTGGAGACAGCGCCTGGAGTGAGTGGTCCCCTCGAAGTGAGAAGACTGCAGTTTCGGAGTGGAGGCCTCTCCAGTGGCACGAGGGGCTTTAGCCAGCTGAGAGGCTGTCTGGATGGAGCATTCGTCAGGGCTTGGAACTTCCCGGAGAAAGGCTGTTGGGGCCAGCTGGGATTTACTTGGGCTTATCTAGTAATCCTTGGTCTGGAGACACAGATTGCTGTCTGCCTTTTTTTTTTTTTTTTTTTTTTTTTTCATTTGCTATACCAAGATAAAACTCCAGTAAATGAGATGCCTAGAAGAACTGAAACCCCCAGAAGTAATGGATCTTCCCCCAAGGCCACCCAAGCAGAGAGAAAATGGGGAGGAACATGGGGTTCCGGGACACAAGAGAGGGGTGGTATCTGTGGAGACCTTCCAGAAGTCATGTTGGAAAGGAGCACGAGCCAGACCTCAGGACCAAACTTTGTATCACCTGGAAAATTCTTTACTCTCTGTGCCTTCCTGGGTTGTGTTCTTCACATTTTCTACCCCTGTTTCCATGGTGATTAGTAGTAAATCAGTTACTGGTAAAACAGTAAAAGCTGAAAGATAAAATGTATCTTTAGGGGCAGGCAAAGTACAGGAGCTAAAGAGGCCTGCAAAGCCATTCCATCAGGAGAAGAAAGCAGGCTGGCCCCAGAGCGGCTTTCCGGAAGTGGAGGCATCTGTCCTGGAAATGAGCTTGGGGCAGAGAAGGTGGGGGCTTGGGGGAGTAGCAGGCTTAGTTTTTGTAAAATGCCCACCATTATTTTATTTGTCCCTGTATTGTATTTAATTCACACCAAATTGCAGATAATAAATTTCCCTGTGTTTGTTTTTATATTTCTAGCTGAACCAAAGAATCATGACTTACATGATCCTCTATTCTGGAGTGCCTGCTATACACAGCCTGGTAAGGAGCTGGACAGATGGCAGAGGCTCAGTATAGTTTATTTCCTTCTTTTTCAGTTGAAAGTATTTCTATGTAAGACAGGCATGGAGGTGCACACCTCTAATCCCAGCACTCCAGAAGCAGAGGCAGGAGGATCTCTGTGAGTTAGAGGGTAGCCTGGTCTATATAGCCAGTTCCAGGCTGTCGAAGGCTGTATAGCGAGACCTTGTCTAAAATTTTTTTTAATGCACAAACGTGTGATACATCACTACGCCCTTCTTGTTTAACTTTTCTCTTAGCTCCTCCTCAGATTCATATGATTATGTGGAAATAGCATGCACACACAAATACAAGTTTTATCAGTATGTTTTAAAAAAATGAGATTCCATATTTCTTGCTTTTCACTCAACATCACCCTTTGGAAATTTACCAAGAAGACTTCTGAATGACTATCCCATTCTTCCCAATGCCTGGCCAATAGATATGTAGCTGGGATATAATTTATCCGAAGGATGGGTATCTTAATCCTGGTACTATACAGCTGACTGGACATATCTATTCACATCTATGTTTTTTCCCCAGTGACATCAACTGCTGACTTGAAATTGGACATGGTGGGAGGATTTACACCATAGAAATCTCCAGACATTAAAAATGGTGCTTTGGTGGAGGGGCTGGAGAGATGGCTCAGAGGTTAAAAGCACTGGCTGTTCTTCTAGAGGACCTGGGTTCAATTCCCAGCACTCACATGGCAGCTCACAACTGTCTGTAACTACAGTTCCTGACACCCTTACACACATAGGCAAAACACCAATATACATAAATTAAATGAATAAATATTTTTTAAAATGGTGTACTGGTCCTGCATAATGGGCGTTAACAGCTTAGATGCAAGATTATAAAACATCGGTAGCGAACTTATGCCCTCCAGGATTCTCCCATTGTGCTGTAAGCCTGTATTTAAGACCTCCTCCCTCCTTCAATAAACAGCATTCGGCATTAAAAAAAAAGGCCTGGAGAGATGGCTCAGAAGTTATGAGCACAGACTCCTCTTCCAGATGTCCTGAGTTCAATTCCCAGCAACCACATGGTGGCTCACAACCATCTGTAATGAGATCTGGTGCCCTCTTCTGACCTGTTGTCATACATGCTGTATACAAAATATACAAATGAATCTTAAAAAATAAAAAATAAATGGTGTACTGGGAGGCAGAGTCAGGTGATTTCTATGTGATCAAGGCTAACCTGGTCTGCAGAGAGTTCCAGGATAGCCAGGGCCACAAAGAGAAGCCCTGTATTGAAACCCCCCAGCCCCAAATGGTGCTTTGGGGGCTGGAGAGATGGATCAGCAGTTAAGACCTCATATTTCCTTCCCAGAGGACTCAAGTTTAGTTCCCAGCACACACATGGCAGCTCACAACCATTTGTAAATCCAGGTCCAGGGGATCTGACACCCACTTCTGGCCTCTGCGGGTACTGCATGCACATGGTACACAAACATAAACGTAGACAAAACACCCATACACAAAAAAATAATACATCTTTAAAGGGAGAGGACTTTCAATTTTAATTAGCAGATCATATAGTCCCTATTAGTTTGTTTCTATTCTCCCTGCCTTAAGGTTGAAAGAATATGGCTAGTACAATTAAAACTACTGTGTGTATGCGAGCATGTCCCCTTATGTGTGCAAAACACTGATGCATACATGTCCTTACACATACTTGCTAGTGTTTTCATTTCTAGGGTACCTAAGGGTGGGATTGATGGGGCAAGAGAATACATATTTTCAGTTACTACAGCTGTCCCAGATTACAAAGGAGTATAGAAATGTACATTTCTACCATCAGTGTGAAATCTGTTTGTCCTTCATTCTGGCAATGGAAATCACCCTCGGATTAGTTCTTGCAGTCTGAAGTGGATGAAGTAATATCTCATTTTGATTTGTATTTCCATGAGTATTAATAGTTGTGAGCGGGGCTGGAGAGACAGCTCAGCAGTTAAGTAAGAGCACTGGCTGCTCTTTCAGAGGACCCAGGTTCACTTGCCAGCACCCACATGGTGGTTTGTAAACATCTGTAACTCCAGTTTCTGGGGATCCAACCCCCTCTTCTGGCCTCCAAAGGCACCAGGCATGCATGTGATGCTCAGACATACAGGTAGACCCACATGCCCAGCATACAGGTAGACAAAATACCCATACACTTAAAAAAAAAAGTCTAAAAACTTAAAGAAAACCAGTTGTGAGCTCCTCCTGCTGACCAGTTCAGTGCTCTTTCATGATGTGTTTGCTGCTGCCAGCTGCTCATTTTCCTGTTGGATTGTTTGCTTGCCTTTTGTCTGCTTATAAAACCTTGTGCCGGGCGGTGGTAGCACACGCCTTTAATCCCAGCACTCGGGAGGCAGAGGCAGGTGGATCTCAGTGAGTTCAAGGCCAACCTGGTCTGCAGAGTGAGTTTTAGGACAGCCAGGACTACACAGAGAAACCCTATCTCGAAAAACAAACAACAAAAAACAAACAAACAAACAAAAAAAAAAACCCACCACCACCAACAAAAACCTTCTTGTTTGTTATTGCTTCTAGTTATCCGTTTCTCCTGTATGAGTTTGTACATTTGTCTATTTAAAAAATTATTTTATTTTACTTTATGTGCATGGATGTTTTGCTTGTATGTTTGTCTACCATGTGGATGCAGTGTCCATAGAAGATGGCATCAGATCTCCTGGAAGTGGCATTACAGATGGTTGTGAGTCACCATGTGGGTGCTGGGAGTCAAACCCTGGTCCTCTGGCAGAGCAGCCGGTGCTCTAACCACTGAGCCGTTGCCGTTACTCCAGTCCCTTGTCTATTGTTCTTTTTTCTTTTGCCATACGAAACTTAAAGAAGAAGTTGTTACAAGGTAAAATATGTCTATACTCTCTTTTATAGCTTCTGGTTCCCAGTCTTGGTGTGTAGAGCACCCTCCCTGTCTCTATACCAAGCTTATAGCTTCCTAAATTTTCAAGATTGTTATTGTCTTATTTTTTCACGTTTGTCTTTAATCTATATGGAGTTCATATTTGTAAGTAGTATGAAATAGGAATCCAGTTTTATTTTCTTCCAGATGGAAGTTGACTTGGTACCATTTATTAAATAATCCATTCTTTTTCATGGGATTGAAATACCAACTTTGTCATATAGTAAATTCTCATATGTATACTTGGTCTATTTCTGGGCTCTCTATCTTATTCCACAGATCCATTTATCTATTCCCATGCCAATACCAAATTGATTTAATTACAGAGGTTTTATAGTTCAGTCTGATATCTGGGAAGACAAGTCTCACTCTTTATTTCTCCTTTTTCACATTTTTATTTGCCTCTTTCAAGTATTTATTCTGCTATGTAACTTTGAAATCATTTAATTCATTTTCCCCTCCAAATAAAAACCTTCTTGTTATCCAATTAAAATCACATCAAATGTGTACATTAATTCTGGTAAAATTGATTTTTCTATCAGTGTTCTTTTATTATTTCCAAAGATATTTGCTGAGTACCTACCTCGTGACAGTCTTACAGGGTATAACAGCAGACAGACATGGCCCCCTTTCTCTTGAAGGCCAGGCTACTTTGTTTATGATAAGTGGCCTTGTGGTTCCACTCTTGCATATATATTCAGTAGAAATGAGTGCTGACATTCACTACAAGAGAGTACAAGAACATCCATAGCAGCTTTATGCAGTAAACAGAAGAAGGCACACTACTATTCCAGTAGAATCCGGGTAAATAGCGGGATGTTTCTTACAGATTGGGACACCACACAGCCCTGAAAAGGAATACATGACCTTCTGATATCTGCAGCAACACAAGTGAATCTCACAGGCAGACTGAGCACAGCTAGGTAGCTCTGAGGACTTAGTAATCGCCCTTATAACAAGTTCAAAGTCAGACCTCTTTATATAGAAAGAATAGTGCCTCCCTTGTGGAGGGGAGCGCATGTTGACTGTGAGGGGACAAGGGCCCCTTCTGCATGGCTTATACTTTGTAATTGTCCTGGTTTCAAGAATACACATACCTGCTTATTAAGTCATGCACTTGAGAGCATCTGCTTTACTGTTATAAGCAGTATTTCAATCAAGATAAGTAAGAATAAAAAGGAAATTTACCATCACAAAGGTTTTCTGCCCCTCCTGGGTGATGAGGATGAGTGGTCTGTGTGGGTCTCTGCCTTCTGCTTTCCCTCTCTGGAAAAACGACTTTCTAGGACTTTCCAGGCTGGGCTTGTGCAATCTTGAAGCTGCTGCAGCCGATGATCACATGATAATTTTCTAGCCTCTCCACCCTTAGTAAATTTATTAAAAAGCATCTCTGGGTGGACTACAGTATGGCTTGTACAGAAGCAACAGACTTGGGCCAGCCAGCTTCGACTCCCTCTCCCCAACTGGTCAATAAGAAACCACGGGTTTTCCTGCCTTACCCCCAAAAGAGTTATAAAAGTTCAGTAAGTGCCTGGAAAGCAGGCAAGACTCCGAGATGCAATCTGGATCACCCATTACCAATTTGCTTTGCTCACCCACCGTAGTGGCTGGGCCTTATGCTTCCTAGGGGAAAATGAGCAGTTTGGATGCCTGCTCCCGCCTTCTCCCTTCTCCCATCTCATCCACTCCTTTGTTTCCCATCAGTGTGTTCCCTAATGGGGTGGTGGTCTATATTTGTGGCTCTTTGGGGAGAAAACTTGGAGCCCTACTTGGGGTCTCACATGTAACCCCAAGACTGCAAGCGTGAGATGTAGCCTGCAGCAGTTCTAAAATGCGCTTGCCATGTGGCGCTGCCGAGTTGCAGTTACTTCCTGCCATTTTGTGTTTCTCATCTCTGGGGTAGTGAGTGACTCACGCTTTCAGTTCAATGTGAGGACATGTCCCACCGAGCTGACTGCCGGATGCTCCTGAGGACATTCCTAACCCACCACTCACCAAGTTATTAGAAGTCTAACTCCTGAAATCACTAATCCCCAAATAGCCTCTATTCTGTCAACTGCTGGCTTCCATTCTTTGATTTTATGCACAGTAGTTCCCAACTCAAGGCCAAAAATTCTACCCCATGCCGAGCCACTTTCAAAGGAGAACCAATATGCTAAGACTGGAGGGGGATTTTGAATAGCGGCTAATTGTCAGTTCGTCTAGTGAAAAGAGCTTCCTCTCCCCGCAGCAGGCTGGTTATTTGTTAAAGTTTTCTGGGGTTTTGGAGCACCTCACCGTTAGGGGCAGTTCAAACTCAGCGGTTTTAATTATTAATCAGGTCAAAGGCGGATGACAATTTTTCTTCTCTTCAGGGGAGGGTCTTGAGGGTTCACAGAGGGGCACGCCCAGGCCCTTGTCCTGTGATGGATAGAAAGGAGAGAAATGGGCAAATGATTGAAGCCAGACCAGTCTCCAGTTCTTAGTGTCAGACTGTTTGGAAAGCCGCGAAGCTGCCTGTGGGCTCATTGTGAGGAATGTGGGTCTCCATCCTGTCCAAGGATCCGTGGTTTTCTGAGTTGAACAATTCCAGGTCAGCAGCACGTGTGAACATGTGTCCTGTTGTATGTGCTCTCGCAAACCAGAGCACAGAGGAGGTGGGGACTCTTCCTGTGTGTCCACTCTGGGGTGCCAGCTTCCTCCTGGTGGCAGTGGGAAGGCCACCACCTCTTTGCTAAGCACACTGTGGGAAAGGCAGGCTTTTTCTAGTTTGGGTCTGTAAAGTCTCCAATATGCTGACTTTGTGTCTGCCCTGCCTCCCACGTCTTTTTTGATCCCCTGAGATCACCCTTCTCCTCTTGGCTTGAGACCTCAGCTTGACAAAATCCAGAAAAGTCTTCTCGGCTGCCTATTCGTCAGCCATTCCAAACAATCCCGGCAGGCGCTGCCTCTCACCCTTGTTGCTAGGCAGATTCCCTGGTTGCTAGGCCACCACTGTTTCTTCTCAGCCTGGGAAAGACGTACAAATTTCCAGTGACCCACTGAATCATCTAGCCGCCCACCCACCAGCAAAAGGAGTAGATCCTAAACCTCATTGTGTGTGAACTCGGTGCCCAGTGTAGATCAACTCCAAAGGGAAACCAGGCAGCAAAGCCAGGGTGTTCCTTCTGGAGGTGACCCAGTATGCCACAGGGAGGATGGGCAGGCCATCTGGGAAGTTTCTCTGGACAAGGACCTGGACATGGCCCCATGGGAACGCTCAAGACCCTCCCTTGAAGAGAAGAAAAATTGTCATCAGCCTTGACAAGAACTTAGAGAATTTTCTCTGGTTTAAGTTCGGTCACCTTCAGCCTTACGGGCTCAGAAAACATCTTATGGGCAACTAGAGAGAGTCCCTGGTCCTAGCGGTAAAAGAGTATTACGTTTGAAGACTCAATTTACTAACCTATAATGAGACTATTGTATGGCTCTAGACTGATTCTATTGCCTTTGCTTTGTGGTTGCAGAGTTTTCAGGGAACAGGATATAAGCGAATTGGTATAGACACCAGTTTGTTAAGAAAAATTTATGTATTTATAGCTACGTTTTTTTAAACCTCCCTACTATGTGTCAGCCAAAATACTGGGTGATTTACAAGATGACATTTAATTTCCCACATCAATTATGAGAAAGACAAAATGCTTAAGCCCATTTTATTAACATGTTAGTTCAAGGCCATCAGAATGGTTCGGTGGGTAAAGGAACCAAGCACCAACCCTGACAACCTGAGTTTGGTCACAAGAACCCACACGGAGAAGGAGAGAAGTGACTCCCGCCAGCTGTTCTGACCGCCGCACACAAAATAACTGAAAAAAAAAAAAAATCCTCTTAACTAGTGTAGGCTTCAATTGTTACCATCTAGGTCAGTTTCAATTGTTACCATCTAGGGGTCTTGATGGGGTTCATTCTCTCTTCCAATTAGAAGATTCAAAGGCAGAAAAGCCCTGGAGTATGACAGGTAGCAGCAGGGCAATCTCAGGTTCAGTAGACAGGGTCAGCCTCGGAAGAAAAGCTTTTGTTAGGAGTGAGGAAACACACACAGCAAAGCACACAGAAAGATCCAGAAAAGCAGAGATGGGGGAACCCTGGGACCCTGAAGTCTGGTCTCTCCTCAAGGGCTGGGGGCTTTGGAGGGTTTTTGAGGGGGCTTTCCTCCCCTAAATTAGGGTTGGTCGGTCGGTTTAAACAAAGACAAGGAGCCTGATAGGCCCACAACTTTTGGGTAAACATGTCCTGGCCTGGCCTTGAACTTGTTAGACCAGTCTGCCAACGGATGGGGTGGGGGCCTGGAAGAAAAAGCCTGCCAGGCCTTTGTCACAGGTCAGGAGGGTGAAGAAGAAGCCGGAAGTTGCCACCTTTCTTATCTGTCTGTGGCCCCTCCACTTGTCTGTTTACTGGGGATCTTCCTCCCTCATAATGACTTAAACGGAGGCTATTCGTCTAAGATGTAAGAGAACCAGGATTTGAGTCCAAAGTTGGCTTAATAGACGCCAGTCGTCTGGGCATGTGCAGGTGTAGGTTGGAGGAAGGTTGGCTAATGGATGCTGAAGTGCTGGTGGATCAGCCACACAGCGATTTCCTAGGAATAAGGCTCCATGTGGAAGTAGAACTTGATTGAGCCTCGATCTCCAGATGAAATTCTAAGTATCACACAGCATGCTTTGCTCTTCTGGAGCTTCTTTGAGAGAAGGGCTTCTGGATTCTTGTTGGCAGTGGGTAAATATTTGGGTCCAGTAGAGCGGCAGAATGTAGGGAGCACTCTCTGGTTCAGCAGGCATCCGAATGGCACAGGACAGGCATTTTAAAGGGACTGCCAGTGCCTAGGAGCTCCGAAGGAAGGATCCTGATGGAAGTGTAGTTGGATTAGGACCACTGAACTCTGCAGAAGCCTGTAGATCAGTTGTTCTCAGCCTTCCCAGTGCTGTGACCCTTTAATACAGTTCCTCATGGTGTGCTGACCCCCAACCACAAAATTATTGCTACTTCATGACTGAAATTTTGCTATTGTTATAAATCGTAAATATCTGACATACAGATGGTCTTAGGCGACCCCTGTGAAAGGGCTGCTTGACTCCGAGGGGGTCACGACCCACAGATTGAGAACAATTGCTGTAGTGATCTGGGACAAAGAAGTCCTTCCTTATCCAGAGGTCTGGTGAGTACCTCCATCCAGGGTGGTGCAGAGCAGACGTAAATCCCAGATCTGGGGACCAGATCCTTGGAGGAGCCTGGGTGGCAGCTTCTGAAAGCCAGTGAGAGCACAATGAGGCTTGGCAGTGGAGTTGACTTCTACCTGAAACTAAAATCTGAGTATGTTCTGTAGCCAGGCCCTAAAGAGCTGAAAGTATGGAACAAAAAAGTCTAGGTATCCAAAAGATCACTTACTGGAAATTGTAGGGATCTCATCTAGGTTACCAGATGATACCAGAGAAGTCAGGATCTCCCTCTTAACGTTCTCAGTCTCATTAATAAAATAGTTTAGAATGGACTCCAACAATAGCTCGAAGACAATTTTATCTGGGTTTAAGAGAAAAGGCCAGGGTAGGCAAGCTGTAATCTCAGCAACTGCCAGGAAGAGGAGAGGGGAGGAGGGAAGGGGGAGAGGGGAGGCCATGCTTGTTAAGACAGCACGGAGGCCAGCCAGGACAGTCAGCCACAGGGCCGGGAGGAGGCTTCAGGGGAACAGTAAGGAAGCCCAGAGTCTTGGGGGAAAGCATGCTTTGAACAGAGATAAAAGAAAAAAGAAAACATACATTTTTCTGAGTAATTTAGAAAAGCAGGCAAGCTAACAAAGCCTCATGATTGTGGCCCTGTAAGCTACTGAGGAAGGGGTCAGGGATTCTGGGAAGGAAAGGACATTATTTCATTAAAGGGATGACTATTCCACCTATCTCTTTGGCATGGCTATGGTAAACCTGCCTTCCTGAGGGGCGGTCCCTTGGCCAGCCCAGAGGTTTTACGTTTCTTGATCAGATTTGCTTTTCTTTTTGCTTCCTCCCTACCCTGCTCTTCCCCTTCCTTCTACCCTTCCTCCTCTTTTTTTTGGGGGGGGGGCAGGTTGGAGGTTGGTGTAGGGATTGAACCTAGGGGCTTGCACATTGCACATGCCAGGCAGTTGCATTACCACTGAACTATAACTCCAGCCTCCTGTTTTTCACCACGCCCCCCACAGGGTTTCTCTGCGTGGTTTTGGTGCCTGGCCTGGATCTCACTCTGTAGACCAGGCTGGTCTCGAACTCACAGAGATCCGCCTGCCTCTGCCTCCCGAGTGCTGGGATGTTTTTTACTTTTTGTTGTGGAAAAAAGTCTACATTTCCCAGGCTGGCCTTGAACTCAATCTGGAGCACAGCCGGGCCTTCCCTTTGTGATTCTCCTCCCACAGTCTCTCCAGTAACCGGGTTGTCAGGCCTGCACCACCAGTTCGGGGCTCCATCCTTTTTCTCCCAAGCGTTCTGGGATCGGGTGAGTTATTCAGCAGAATGCGCATTGTCTGATTCTCTGCTTTCACAAGTTAGTTTTTTTGGCTTTTCCCCAATTTCCTCCTGAAGTACTTTCTGAACAATCTCGACCTTGTCTGGACGCCAGAAATTTGCCCAGCTTTGGGCCAAGACAGCCAAGGGGGTTCCAGGGCCCCTGGAAATTTAGCAGGATGGGGTTAGCAGCTGTCTCAGCTGGATTTGCATGAAGCAGCTGGTGGAACAGGGCAGGGAGAGGTGAACTCTCAAGAGAGTAGAAATTGAGAGATGGAGGCAGCTGCAGTTGCTAAGGTCTTTCTGCCTGGGCCCTTCCATCGCAGGGGCGGCTGGGCCCCTCCATCCCAGGGGCGGCTGGGTCCCTCCGTCGCAGGGGCTGATGGGTCCCTCCATCGCAAGGGCGGCTGGGCCCCTCCATCCCAGGGGCGGCTGGGGCTCCAGCTCTTTCCACCTGGCTTTATTCATAAAGCAACAAACCAGTTAAAGTGAAGTCCCATGGGTGGGGACAGCATCTTGAGGCCTGGTGATGTTTACATGCAAAGCTTATCAGCATCCGGGGTAGATGTGACTAATGACTGGGTAGAGGTGAGGGTGATGGTGGGTTACATCCCAAGCCACTAGACTGGCACTGTTAGGGGCTTCGATCCAATCAGGGGTCATGGCACTCCAACAGAAGGGAAGTAGGGGAATCTGGGCCTCCTCTGCTGTTTTAGTCACCCGAGAGTCCCTCAGAAGTTTGTGAGTGGTTCTGGCTTGTGCCCACTTGCAGGACCCTCCCCCCACTTTTACCTTTCTTACATGGGTGAGCAGTAATTTTTACTTTATTTTTAACGTTACAAATGACATGATATCCGTGGACCGGCAACAATGACTTAGCTTATTGCTAGCTGGCCTTTGGAAGGAAGGTTCAGAAATTTGGTGGGAGGACTTTTCTGACCCACTGACAATTTGCAGTCTCCAGCTTGGTTCCTGGGCAGCTGTGGTTAGGGTGAAATCTTGATTCTCTTATCACTTGACGGCTTAGTTTAGGCCTCCGGTTGCTGTTCCATGAACTGCCTTGAAATTTAATCACCCAAATTTATTTCCTAGAGTGTTTTTCACGGTCTCCTCCTGTAGGCCCATTCGTCACCGTCCTGTGACCTGACAGGGCAAGTTATTGAAGATCCCCGGGGTTCTTCACACTAGATTTAGGGGTGCGGGTAACTCTGGAGGCAAGTTCTAATTTGAGTCATAGTTGGGTGGCTTTCCCTCAATTGGTTGTGAATCCTTCCCAGGGCATCCTGGAGGCCCACAAGGAGAACACTTCCCTTCTATTCTTCCTTCGAAAGAGAGGTGGTGACTGCCAGGATTGGTCTTCTCATGCTGGGACTATGCTGTCTTTGCCCCTGGTCACATGCTGACATTGCTCACCTTCAGTGTCCCATTTAATCAAAT